CCACCCATCCCACCCCAGGGGAGGACATCCATCACACAGTAATCTCGTGTGTGGGAAATTAACGTCTCCTACCCCAACCCTGCAGGAGACGGGACCTCCATTTATTCGTCTCTATCCGAGAAGACTAGAATATCTAACCATTTCTTGATGTTATAGAAAGGCAGCAAATTCTTCTCAATTATTTTAAGACCCTGAGTGTTGTTCCGGCCGGGGCTCGAACCCTCGACCTCCCGCACAACAATCCAGCGCTCCATCCATTGAGCTAATCGGGAGCTATCCATTGAGCTGCCCGACAACGTTTGTAAGCGCTGTTTTAGATTCCTTGCTTGTGATATGACTCGCTGAGATAGAATTTATTATTACAACTGTTTGATTTAAAGAATCATGTTTAACAAATATTCCTTTTATTTCTATTTATATGAACGATAAAGACGACAGTTTGTTTGATGTTAATGACTGTTACTGATTCTCAAGTCGGTATTGAAACCGAGTAAATAAGTATTTCCTTCATTAAATAACTACGAGTTTGGTTTCCTCGTTGCATTTATGGCGTTTCATTCAATACTAAAAACCCCAGGTTGGAACGTTTTTGCCAAGTGAAAAATTACTGAGAACCGTGGAAGTTTCAACCTGAAGGATTTACAGAATGTTATTCAAGGGTGAGCGTTTTTAGATTGAGTGTCGTAAAACCAAAACCAAAAAAACACAACAGCCAATCAGAAGAAAGGAAAATACTTTGAGAGCTAATAAGAACTCACAGTAAAACTGAGCAAACTGCCTGAAGCGCGGGAAAACGCGGGCGAACAAGTCGTGGTCTGTTTTAATTTTGCATCTGATTATTTGAAAGAGTGGCGCGAGTCTTTTTCTGGACCAATCACAGAACAAGTTGAGCAAAACCAATGTAATTCAGGATTTCTTTTGACACAATTAAAAATGGCTCAAAAAACTAAACATCGATCGGAAGAATGAATATTAAGAAAGCCAATGATGGAGAAATATGCTAAAAGTTTAGTGGAGAAATTTGAAGCTGGTCACTTCGAGTGCTAAAAGGGTCGTTAAAGGAGCTACGTCACGGAATGTGAATCTTGTAGAAAATTCAGAACAAAATTTCCAAAATAAACATCATCTTAATCTTCATCATTCTTCGCCCTCCATCACTGGTGTTCTTATACCCTCAAAAAGCTTTCTTCCTCTCAACGGATTTCAACGACTCAAAGACGCAAATTTCTTACGTCTCTAACGCTTCAGTAGTGACCCGAAGGGCAACGAGTTGACCCAGTGATTGCTTGATTAAAATGGTGCAATTCCATGATTTATAAACAAATTTAGTGTCTAATACTTCTGCCTTCTACATCTGAGTGTTAAGACATATTTATCTCAAATACAGCCGACCAAGCAATCGGCGGAAATCTAACTTGTATCAGTGTAAATGATATTCTAAGTCTCTAATATATTTGCGGACCAAATTGTAAACTTATTAACAAGTCAATAACTTTGGAGTAGGCAGATCATAAAGTTTTCCTAACATTTCTAATCTGGAAAAAATTGGAATCAAAATAAAATATTATACTTTTAAGCTTCCGCCAGGGCTTTCATGATCTGATCCCACAACTGAGCAATCGCAAGCGGCTGAGATCAAAATCAAAAGCTTGCTATCTTTGTCAAGGCGTGTAGACATTATCCAACAAAGAGGATTCTTTTGCTTCTTTCAAGTTCACTTAAGAATATTTTGACAACATCTTAATGTATTGGCTCCTTAAAAGTCTACCTGACTTTTAAACAATCGTCGAAATTAATTTCATGGTTCTGGCAACTCGAGCATGTTTGAAACAGCCCCTCGCAGTTTTTCCGGGCTATTGCATTTTTGACTGAAATGATGCAATCCGTATCGGAAGCCCTATATGAGAAAAGCTAATCCGCTATTCTAAGAGCTAGGGCTTTTTCATGAGAAACATTTTTTTGGATGGTGTTAATCTGTTAATCAGCTTAATTTGCAACAATAAAATGAAAGAGAATTAAAAAAGAAACATGGTCACACATTAGCTAAACTCTCTCACGATGAAATTAGACGATTACACCTTTTCCCTCAAAAAATGTGAGCGCTAGTTTTCTTAACCGCGAAATTTAAACAATCGTCTAGCGGCCTGCCGAAAATCCGTCCTATAAAATGAATATATGAAAGGATTCACACACGACTGCAAAAGGAGAAAAAACATGGACAACTTTACCAGAAGTGGAGTTACTAAAGCTGCACCGCCAAACACAAACGCAAAGTTGTAGATTGAGCGGGGAACCCATGACAACACAAACACTAAAACAACCGCTGCGCAGGCACTGGTTCCTTTTCGTTTTCTAACAGATTCAGCCCGAGTTTCCTCACATGAAAATTCCTGAGACGTCAAAGAGCTCAAGTCTCTCACGGGAATTGTCTTCCTTCGCTGCGTCCGAATGGCGCGAATTATCATGGTATTAACAAGGGTCATTATAATAGCTGGTAACACAACGAGAAGAAAAACTAGTATTACGTTATAGACCTGGTTGATGGCCTTAGCTTTTTCTTCCTCTTGCGTCTGCCACCAAATGTTTCTTGCGGTGGCAACGATAGCAGGAATGACCCAAATGGAAATCACCATACAAGTGACTTTGGCTCTAGTCATTTTGCTGCTGTACAACAAAGGGCGGAGCACCGCTAAATACCTATCATAGGTGATGGCTAATAAGCTGAAAAATGACGAACTGAACACAATGTCTTTGGTCTGCGCTAGAATCCAGCAAGTGTCCGAGGAGAGGTACTTACAACCTGCGCAGAATGCAGTGTAGCCTGGGACCACCATAATGGCCATGAGAATATCACTAACTGCTAAGCTGATAAGGAAGATGTTCATGTTTTGTTGTCGAAGCATTTTAGTGGACAGAAAGATGACACAAGTAAGAGTGTTTCCCGCAAAAATGATCGACGCCAAGACGCCATTCACGGCCCAAAAAATTAGCTGTAAAGTTTCATCACAGGTTTCCTATGTGGTGTGATTGGGATTGCCAAGAAAGGAGGAGATGTTCGTTGAAATTCCCTTCATGCCGAGTTTTTCTCCCTCAAGTGGGTAGCTCGCGGTAAGGATTCCGTGATGTTGACAAGTTTTCTTTGTAATGGTGCTAAAGGTGATGTAGCCTTCTTTTATTTTTTCCCTGTATGATCACCAGGTGTGCTCTTCTTTGACGTTAGCGAACTCATTCACGTTATTTCCTTAATTGCCAAAAACCTGTCAAAATACATTCATATGTAGATGATTTACCTATTTCGAGATTCGTAATTAGATAACAGCATTTCCCTTTGAACATCAAAATCATTACCCTTGTCTCATGCACTTTGTTCCGTAATCAACGAGCATAGTGTTTCGTTTATAATTGAGTAGATTATAAAACGCCCAAAAAACAGTTCTTTTGTTTTGAGCGAAATTGAATCTTCTTTCCAAGAGACTGCTGAGTTATTGCTTTCGTGCTTCAGGAAGTTGTTTGTGTTTCCAGCACACGTTCAATAAATTAAGTGTTTCGACCTTAAGGCTCCTCAAGAAAAACTATACATAAAAATTAGCATTTAGTTTTAGATTGCCGTCTTCGCATTTTCCAACGGGGCGCAAATGATTTTCACGAATTCATCAAAAACTGTGTAGTATTTAGCCGTAAATTTGTTTCCGTCATGATGGTCTAAATCAATCTCCTTCCTTATTTGGCTTCTTTCAATTTCTCATACTGAACTTAATTCAATAAGCAAAATTTGTATTGGAAAATTTACTTATTTGATTCGTGACGCGTCAAATAATAAAAGAATGAAATAAATATATATATATATATATTTAAAAAAAAACTCGACAAAAAGTGTTGTTGTTTTGCGACAAAATGACATCAAAGGGTGACAAATAATATACATTTGTTAATTTTTCTGTGTAAAATAAATAAAAGAAAACGCTTATCGTGATATTTTGACATCAAACAATTCAAGTGCAAGTTTTCCTGGCACAAGAGCTCCAAGCATACGCACGCAGGGAACCTGCTAGAACACACTAGATCCATCGTACAAAAACAAAACCGGAGAAGGATTTGTCTAATGAAGTTTGTGCTTTATGACTTTAGGCGCTGTGATCAAATACTAAAAAGTCGGCTATGCGATTCTTATCTTTATCGATACGTGCCGAATTTCATCATTTGAGAAAAATTCGACAAAATTTTCAAAATTTGACAGGGGATCTGCACCAAGTCTCAAAGTTTACTTAGCTGCTTCCCTCAATATCATAAACACTGGCTGGAACACGAAACCAGGGTAGAAATTCGATCGTCATCTGAGAATAGTTGAATAGAAGGGTGTATTTTCGTGGCCACGAGTCTAGTCAGGATTGGGATTTACTCACAGGAAGAAAACTCTAATTTTAGAATTTACCTGATATGGTCGTGATATTTGGATGTTTTAAGCATTAACATAAAGAGATGTTTACCGTTAAATCTATGTGGGTGTTTAGGCGTTCTGATCAAGATTACCTCTTGGTTTTATTTGCATGGAAAAGATAGGCAAAGCAATAAAAGTGATTATTTCTGCTCATTCATGCGCATGTTAATAAAATTGTTCATAGAATTTGAGTGGCTATCGTGTTTACAATGAGAAAATTTCAGATCGACTCGAGTTTTTGTAAACATATCTAGTAGATTGTTGATAGGCAAATACAAATGGGAAATACCTAATGACGATGATAGCCCCCTTATGACGTCAACGAGCTGATCTCAGTCAACGGGGGTGAAATAAACTACAAACTGAGGTAATGATGTTTATTTCCTCGTGTGGGTTCGAAGCTATTTTAAATGGGACGTTGGTGTTTTATTTCTCACTTCTTCTTGAGTTGCTGAGTTGCTAACATGTACTAGATCAAGTTTCAGAAAAAAAAGGCTATTTTTAGTCTTCTGCTACCGATGATGTAAAGCGGAACGGCGCAACTCGCTTTGGAGTTTGTTGAATTGTCATGCGATTTTACATAAAATATTAGAATAAAAAAGCAATTTTTCAAAATTTTCAAGAGAAAAAGTATGTAAGCCATCTACATATGCAATAATTTTTCCTGGTTTAAATCAAAGCTATCATTTAGGAATAATGTTGTTGAGGTCGGACACGTTTGGATCATGTGATTGCCCACGTCAGAAATTAACACGCAAAAATAGACTTAATCTGATTATGCATTTGGTTTGCTCTGAATAGCGTCTTAAATCGAATCAATGACATTTTCATTTCAATTGGTCAACAGCATTCGGGGTCAAAATTTTACCTTGGGAGGCAATTTTAAGCTGTAAAGTTTCTCTTCTGTCCCACCTTTTCGAACCCACAGTTTCTTGAGCCGATAACTCGAATAAATCAATGCTGCTTACCTTGGTTGTGTCCCTCTCCACACTGTAACCGATTTTGTTTCCGATATCTTTAGGCTACAATAACTCTCGATTTTAACTTTTGATAAGTCGATTCAATTTTCATTTTATTGGCAGAATAATTGCAATCCTCTCTAGCTTGAATCTTTGAAAATGTCAAACGAAATTTAATACCGATGTAGCACAGTTAACATGAACTGAAACGCGGTATTAAGAAAAACAAAAAAGATATTTGCGGTGATTTAAAAAATTTTGATGACTGATTTTGTTTTAAGTTTTAACACAGTACATTTTGTTGCTAACCATATCTATGTTAGAGTGAATTCGAACACCATCGTCCCTGAAAACTCTTCAACAGTTCTTTAAGCAAACATCAATTTCTAGAAGTAGTTTCTATATTACGAGAAATTTGAATCCGCTGTAAATTTAGCTATGACGAGAGTAACGTCTTTTATGACGACAGGTACCGAAATTTCCCCAGACTTGGTAAATATACCTGAAAACTTTTAGCTGTGCAAATAAAACTTGGCATCCAAACTGCTAGAAAGGAAGCCGCTTGTGTGCAGTGTACTCTATAGCCGACGTTTTAGGATGAAAATTGGGCATATAAGTACACTTCAACACAGAAGACTTCACAAATCCTCAAAATAGTGTCAATCACGACTGACATTTTGCAAATATATGTTGGGTTGTAATAATAAGTAAAAATGTTTAGAATAAATACTTTAAAGTTAAGCTGTTTGCCGAAACTGAGCCACAGACCGTGGTTTACAGTTATTTTCGTTCAAGACCGAAATTGTTGAAACTGTTGAGGGAAAGGTCATTTATAATAAGCAAATTCAAACGGATGAAATGTCTATCAATACGAGCAAGTTAGCAGAACTCGTTGACTTTGGCGATAATTCAGATGATGTGGGCTTAAACACAGATAGCTCTTGCAACAGAGAAGTCGAAGTCGTTTTTTGGGTCTTGTACTCTGCAGTGGGAACAATAATTTTGGTTGGGAACAGTTTTACATGCATCGTTCTGCTGGCATCGAAACGGTTGCGAAACATCTTCATGAATATTTTCCTCGTAAGCTTATCATTCTGGGATGTGCTGATGGCGATTTTTGTTGTTCCATTTTATGCTATACATTGCAGCCATGGCTGCGAATATTCCTTAACCAAATATTGTTGGATTTTTAGGAAAGCAAAAGACTGTGTTCTTCTCGCAACAACTTTCAATATATGTGCTATCACATACGATCGCTATCTAGCTGTGGTTCGACCACTTCATTATGGCGCGAAAATGACAAAGCGACGTGTCACCGTCATTTTGGCGGGAGTTTGGACGGCGCCCGTCGTCGTGGCAGGATTAAGAAGCACTTGGCACCATACCAAGACAAACGAGGAATTGCGCTTCGCTAACAAACTTTACGACACTATATTGGTGATTGTGTTCGTCATCTTTTCTATTCTTGTATTAATGGTAGCTAACGTGAAAATCATGAAGGCTATTAAAACGCAAAACGAACGAGAACGTACCGAACAAGGGAGAAGGGCAGCCTGGATAGCGACTAATAAAACAATAACGCGGAGGAAAGGAACAAGAGCTTGTATATTAGTGGTGTTTGTGTTCATATTATGTTGGCTTCCGAGGATTGTGTACAATCTTAGTTATGTCATTAAGCCGCCGGGATTAGCAAGCCCTTTGTTTCTTAGGCTTGCTTTCCTCTCTCTATATCTGCAGTCTTCTACCAATCCATTTATTTACTCATTTTATAGATCCGAGTTCAGAAGGGCCGCTTTGAAGCTTTTAAGCTGGCGGAATTCTGCTAATCTTAGTAAAGTTCATCCTTTTGTTGATTTAGCAAAACAAGTCCGATTGCAAACTATACAGGATTTAGCCGTATCATCGGATTAATAGGGACCTTAAGCAGTCGGGACGGCAACACCAAGGAAGATGTCGATTAAAAAATGAATTTCTACTTTAATAAGAATTTCGAAGATGGCTGCATGTGTTTAACGTCTCTAACAGCGCCACACCTTAACTTCAGCATAACGTATATTATATAATTGTACATTTTGCTGTCGCGGTTTCCGCTCTCAGACGACGCAAATTTTGGCGATTTTACGTCGTTGTTTTGCAAAGGACGGCTAAGAAATGTACAAAGTTTTAAAACGTACGTGCTGGCTATTGTTCTGCCCTTTAGATCTTTTGTTTCGCCACGTCCTCGTTGCCGTCGCCGTCGTGGTTTGCTTAAGGTCCCTAGTTTCAGCGATCAAGGAAGTTTGGCGAAGGGTTAGCATCCAAACAAGTAAATGTCACGTACAAGAGTTGCTTTGACTGAATTGTATTCGCAAACAAAGTCTGGAAACGATTGTGGATACACAGATTGGATTGAAGCAATTGCTTTTCAGTAAAGTTTTCCATGCGCTGCTTGACATCAAGACAGGTATTAGTGAAGAAATTGATGAAAATAAATCTCTACTTGAACGTTTAGAATAAAAATAAAAAAGGGAACCGGAAAAAAGTTGAAATGCTATAAACAGAAGTTTGATTCTTAAGAAAATAAGACGCCTTACCTATCCTTACGTCGGGCTGGTACTTAATAAAAAGGTATTCCTACTTGTCTTTTTTATCCTTTGTTTTCCTCTCGTGTATTCAAAGCTATGCGAGGTTAGCAAAATCGTTACGAAAATGAATGCATGCGTTAAGTTTTCATCAATACACAGATTTCCTGTTATTGTTGACTGAGTTGGTTCAGGAGTGGTTGACCGTACTTCAAAAGACGAAAGAATTATTGCAATATCCCTTATCCTTGTTTTTCGCAACAAAAAAGCGTAGTAACACCTTTTACATCGCAATTTTCAAAGGTTCGTTATATTAAAAGGCCCAAAGACGAGTCTATTACTTTCAGAATTTGGTGAACAACCGAAAAAATTGTCTCATTTCGGAGGGATCATCAGGAATGTGGTAGTTGGTTACTTTCGAAACTCCATACAGTTTTCTGTACTTGGATATTTACACTGCATGAAATACAGCTTGGGAATCCTACACCACAAGTGAATACGAAAGTTGATATAAATGAAAGACGAAAGATAAACTGTAACATTAAATATTTTTACCTCACAGAGTAGAATCCACTCTTATTCCTAGAGTTAGAGTCAGTTCATTATATTTCAAGACAACGTCGTCCTCAATGTTTCAGGCACAATGACCGGCCAACAACTCTCAGAATGACGAAAAACAAACTTAATGAAACGATTCCAAGATGAAAGTTATCTAATGCAACATTATTCAGGTAATGAGACCGGCAGTGACATTGATGAGTAAGTCAGTCATGTTAATCCCTGAACAGCTTGCAGTCGCGGCATGTGGTCAACGTAATCGTAATGTACGTAAATTAGTATAAACGTTTTGTCTGTGAACTGTCACGATTATCACCAAAACATAAAAGAAAAAAGGTATAGGTAAAACTTTCCTATGTTTTAGTCTCCTTGTATTAGTATTCAACTTCTTGATCTATGGGGATAAGCCCGTTTTTTCGCTGTATGCAATCGATAACGTGTAAGAGTTTCCAGATCATGTATTTGAAGCTGTCACTATCTAAGCCTCTTTTTTTAAAATTTTGTATCCAATAATATCAGATAATTACGGACCTTTCAACTGTCGCAGCTTGCATGTAATGGTTTTATCCACTTCAGTGGAAGAATCATTAAAAGGAAAAAAAAACAAATAGGAACAGATCACGTTAAGCTTGTTGGATTTAACTCAGTTGTATAGTGAAGAACCACCGTGTGACTGGTTCTTATCTTCACCACCTTTAAATGACGACGTGTTAAGTTTCCCAAAGATGAGTAATGATGCAAAGAAGACACGAAAGTTACAATCTCAAAAAGAAAAAGAAAAAAAATATATATATCTATATATAACAGGAAAAAACAATTAACAAAAATATGAGATGATTACAGAAAAGGTACCTACATTTCAAATAATTACCACCTTTCGTGCAAAGGATGACTTCCTTGGACAAGTTTTCATCAAATCAAAATGGCTACCCAATCAAAATGACCGAAGATAACAATTTCCCAAGCAAGCGCAATTTTCAAGCTGAATACCAAATGAACCAAATGAGAAATGAAGAGTATTCACTTAACATCAACAAGAAGAAAAAATCAAATGTGTCCTGGTGTCAACATGGTTGGGTATTAAATATCTTGATTGTAAATATATGAAAATCATATATGTGAACTGTGGATTTATAAATTAATATGTTAATGAGCTTGGAAAAAAATTGTTGGGTACTGCCAGCTGAAATGTTGCGCGAACTATTATATCAAGTCATTTTATGTAAGTTGTTTTGTTCCAAAAGGAATTCGAGCATGATGTAAAATGCTTGAGTTAATCGGTAAGATATATGAGTGTCAGAGAGAGGCCCATATGACAGACATCTCGTTGAAGATAAAACTGGGCCGTCACACAGTGCTACAAAGCACATCAGATGCAAATTTATAATTAAAATTTAAAAGGTCTCGTCCAAATGTCAAATATTTCTGTAATATAAATTTGTAGTCTTCATTCAGGGGAAAACGAACAATCTAACTTCCTGTTCTAAATACATTTTCTAAGGTAGTGATTCAGCGGCTATGGTGTTGATAATAGGAAAATTTCAGATTGACTCAAGTGTTTGTAAACTTATCTAGTGGATTGTTGATAGGCAAATACAAATGGGAAATACCTAATTGTTATGTTCGGTACACGAATTCTCACATACTACACAGATCGGTGAGAACACAAGCTTTTAATAAATCCTCTCGGGTTCTTCTCTGCCGTTTGCCGGCCAGCGGCCTTTACAGGACTTCATGTTACTACATCTCCTTTCCTTTTAAACACGAATACGTATAAACAGTCCTAAGAGTTCTTAAGAACAGTTTCAAGCATTCTTCGACGTATCTCTGTGGTGTTTTATTAACTCCTCTAGGCCTGAGACGATTCGACCACGCTTCCATCTTTGAAGGCCAGTACTCTACTGTCTGGTTCCTAGGCGAGGTAGGCTAATGTCGGGTTGCTTCTCTGATCGCATCGGGTATGTCAGGAAGTCTGGTACTGGGCTGTCTTGAATCGCAGCAAAGTTAGTAGGAAGGTCTGTTACTGGGCCATGTCTCATAAATGGCTCAGGGCTGTCACGGCTTGTAAGGGTAAACGAGAAACGAGGACTATCCTTGGGAGCTCTTCGAGTAATTCTCCTGTTTCTTCGCACTTTGCCATTTGGGGTCTAAATAACTACAGATCTTGGACGTTCATGTGGCTTGATCACAGTTCCCTCAACTTTCATGTCTGGGATCCACACGCGGTCGCCAGGTGACAGTTCCTCTCCTTCAACGACTCTATGTCTGTGGTCGTAGTAGGACTTCATTTTGGTTCGGTATTCTCTCTCTTTCTTCTTGACCTGGTCATAGTCAGGGGTCTGGGGCAGCAGCTCATCGGGGTGACAAAGAATTCTTGTGCATAAGTTTCGGTCCATGCTGAGTTGGGCTGGTGAATAGCCATTGTGTAATGGAGTATCTCTGTAAGTCAGTAGAGCTAAGTGTTCATCGCTACTCTTATTCATGATCATCTTCATGGTTTGCACGGCACGTTCGACCTCTCCATTAGACTGGAGATATTTTGGAGAAGAGTGATGTGCTCAAAGTGCCAGCCATTAGAGAAGGTTTTAAACTCGCGTGAATCGAACTGAGGACAATTATCAGTGAAGAGCATCTCGGAAATCCCGTGTCTGCTAAAGATCTTTTTTAATTGTAAGATGGTCTGGCAAGTGTTCACGCTTTGGACACCAAGCAAACCTAGAGAAATAATATCTCTAGAGAAATAATATCTCTAGAGAAATAATCTACGGCAATGAGATAGGTCTTGTCCTTATGCTGGAAGAAGTCCACGCCAACTCTACTCCATGGTCGATTAGGAAACGCAGTGCCTTTCATTGGCTCTATGCGTTCTCTCCGGTACTTCTCGCAAATAGCACAGCTGCTCACAACCTTGCATATGTCGTTAGAGATCCCCGGCCACCAGACTGACGAGGCGGCATTTGCGCACGTCTTGGTTATGCCTTGGTGTCCATCATATAGGCGTCTCATCACATCTGGTCTTAGTTTAGGGGGAATAATTAGTCGACGCCCTCTCATAAGTAATCCATTATGGAGGGAAAGAGTACCGCTCTCATTTCGAGTCTCATTCGAAAACGTTGAATGCGCACTGGGAGCTCATCGATAACCTCGATGGAAAACAGTGGAATTAATGGCTTGTGATTAGTTTGTACTTTAAATTTCATTCCGACCAAAAAGTCTGCCCGGTGTTCTAGTGCCCACGTGATAGCCAAAGCCTCTTTTTCGATTTGGGGATAGCGACATTCAGTTAAGGTCATGGACCCACTAGCGTAGGCAACTTGCTTCAGTTCACCAGATGGTTGCTTTTGCATAAGGACTGCGCCAAGTCCAAAACTGCTTGCATCTGAGGAAACAGTTTCCTTTTCTGGGTCATACAGAGCGAGTACAGTCTCCAAAGCCACATTTCTGTCTTCAGGCGTTTGAAGGCTTCTTGTTGAGCTGGGCCCCATACCCAAGCATTTTCCTTCTTAAGCAAGTCTCTTAGGGGCTTCGTTTTCTCCGCCAAATTTGGGCTAAATTTCATAAGATGATTGACTAATCCTAAGAATCTTCTCAGTTCTCCAATATCCTTGGGTTCTGTCATGTCCACAATGGCTTTGACCCTTGAGGTATCTTTCCTCACCCCCTGACTGTCGAGGATCTGGCCTAAGTATTGCAGCCTGCTTTGAGAAAATAAAAACTTCTCGCGGTTGAGCGTAAGTCCTCTCTCTACCAGCGTGTCGAGAACTTTTCTGAGTCGCTCATCATGTTGGGCTTGGTATTTTCCCATGATTAGAATATCGTCGAAACGACACTTCACCCCCTCTATTCCTGAAAGCTTTTGATCCATCCTCTTTTGGAAATATTCGGGCACTGATGTTATTCCGAAGGGCAGACGTTTAAACATGAATCTTCCGAAAGGCGCAGTAATGACGGTAGTTAGCCTAGCACTCTCTGAGTTGAGGACTATTTGGTGAAAGCCTGAATTGGCATCAAGCTTGGAGAAAACTGATCCATCTGTAAGGCTACTGAGTGTCTCTTTGACAGTAGGCATTTGATACACTTCACGACGAACTGCTTGGTTGAGCTTTGTAAGGTCTACAGATAGCCGAACATCCCCATTTGCCTTCGGCACTACCACGATGGGTGAACACCAGTCGGTCGGCTCGTCTAAAGGTTCTATGACGTCAAGTTGCAGCATGCGTTGTAGTTCAAGCCTTACTTTCTTCACGAGGGGTAATGGAACCTGCCTTGGAGTAGTCAGACAAAATAGTGTGACCCCATCCTTCAGACGAATAGTGTACTCACCTTCCAGTTTGCCTAGGCCCTGAAAGAGCATCGGGTACTGCTTCACAATGTTCTCCTTTACGTCCAGTCGAGGCGGAACATCAGGAGACCGCGTATGCTCGACTGGATTGACTCTGCAGGTTCCTGGTATTTCATGAATAAGGCCAAAGCTGCGGATTGCGGGTATAACGAGAAGCAGTTTGGATGCCCTTTGACAATGTATACTCTTTCCTGGATTCTGGTTTTGTGCAAGGCAAGAGTCAAAGGCACAAATCCAAGGGTCCCCAGGGGAACATCTCCTGCTCCAACAAGCTCACTGTCTGCTTGTGATAATGGCCCACACGATTCCTTGTAAAGGGACTTCGGCATTACAGATACTTCAGCACCAGTGTCAATACGCCATGTTAGCTCCTGGTCTTGAACCTTAAGCTTGACATACCAACCAGAGTCAGAGGTGGAGGTTTGATGAATACTGGCTGGTTCTATGGTGGGTGTTAGAGGTAAGGAAGTTGAACTGGGCGTCGTAACTCCTCCAACAAATGTGGGGCAAATATCACCCTCAGTTTCTGAAACTTGACTAACCAAGTTAACAGGTGTACTCCAGCATATTTCAGGAAAATGTCCAATTTTGTTGCTCTTGATGCATCTCGTTATTGCAGCTGGACAATTCCTCCTGCCTGGACGGTGCTGGCGGTTTCAGTATCCGCAATTTTGCCGCGTGACTGGAAGGGTATCTTCCTAGGATCTTGCTTTTTTCCCTTATAAGCGCCGTTTCCGCCGTAAGGAGCTATATCTCGTT